CCTTTGACACAACCCCCATTAACCCAACTCCCATCAACCCAGCCTCCTTTGACACAGTCCCCATTAACCCAACCTCCGTCAACCCAACTCCCATCAACCCAGCCTCCTTTAACTCAACCCCAATCAACCCAGCCTCCTTTGACACAACCCCCATTAACCCAGCCTCCTTTGACACAACCCCCATTAACCCAACTCCCATCAACCCAGCCTCCTTTGACACAACCCCCATTAACCCAACTCCCATCAATCCAGCCTCCTTTAACCCAGCCCTCAACACAATCCCCATCAACCCAACTCTCGTCAACCCAGCCCCCATTAACCAAGCCTCCTTCAACCCAACCCCCATTAACCCAACCTTCTTCAACCCAGCCCCTTTCAACCCAGACACCCCCTCCAGGCTTCATTATGGTCAATCTCAAGCTCACTATCCTTGATGCCCAAAACAACCCAGTCTATGACACCACTGTTAGGATCAGTGATGCTGGAGGTGAATCCAAATTCTTAGTTGTCCCTGTCATGACAAACATTGTAGATGTCTCCAGCGTTATTCCTCAAGATGGTAGTCTTGGGGTTGTCGTCAGCAAAATGGGATATACCAGCAATGCCGTTCGTTGGAGTAGTGGTGACTCTGAAGGCAAGTCATTGTGATAAAGATGTAAACTCACCTGATATAACCACTGGCGTGTAACCTCATCACGTGTAACCTTGTGTCAACTCCTGTCACTACTCGTTGGATGAAAGTTTACTCTTTCTGAGCCAAAATACATTTTGGTTTGTTGGAGTAAAAACGTTGTTTTTATTTTTGAAATAGAGGCATTTGTTTGTCCCTTTTTCAAGGGCTGCAGACAACATTTTAGACTAGTAATGGTGTGTAATTAAATGTCTTGATTCACAGTGTTTGAAATCAAACTACTGCAACTCAAGTCAGCCACTGTAGAGATACTGGGAGATGAAGTGCTGATCAAGACGGATGTAAATGGTGAGTTGATTCAAAAGTATGAGTTGATTTATGCAACAACGCAGTTAACGAACTTCTATTAAAAATTGGGGTATTCCTCATCAAATTTGTGGATGAGTTTCAACTTGTTAATGTATTTTTAATAGCGTATGGCCAACAAGCCACGTTCCAGTTTGAACCGGCACTCATCAATGGCACAACCATCAACGCTGGATATGTCTTAACGTCGGACCTTAGTCTCATTCCAGCAATTAATACTGCTGGTATTGATGACTCCAACTCGGTCAGGCTTAAACCCCTTGGTGCACTTGAACTGACCATCAGTGACCAGAACTCAGGGTTGGTGGTTCCGATTGGAGGAAATGTGGATATGATGGTACCGTTAGAGCAAGGATTGAATGTGAAAGATGGAATGGAGATTGAGATCTGGACATACAACGAGACAACAGGTAAATACGCAGGATTACCAGCATCTAGCTTTGTTGTAATCAACTAAGAATGACTTGTATCACAATTCTAATGTATGCCACATTACGCCAATTTTTTCAGAGTATTCCATTACTCATTTGTAATTAGCTCATCTGGTGGAACTGTTTTATGGTTTCTTGATGTTACAGTTCAAAAACCGCTTCTCTGAGTATACTTTGTTCACTCTAAATATTCATTCACCGGAGGAATTTAAGTGGTGTGCAAACAGAAGCTGTTAGACGATTATGAAATTTGGTTTGTGAAATGTCACTATTTTTGTCATTACAATTTGTTCTCAGCATTCTGGGAGGAGGCAGGCACAGGCGTGATCATCATTGACCAGGATTTGCTTGTCTACTGGAGCTTCACGGCACCTCATCTGTCGTGGTGGATGGCAGTAGAAAGACAGGACACATCCACTCCCAGACGTAAATCCTTTAATTCACGTAACGATAACAATAACGATTGCAGTTACTTCCACTTCGGAATATTATCCTTGTTTTCAATTGTAAATTTGAAGGCCTATTGCAAAAAATATTAAATGCCCTTGGTTTAAATGTTTGTCTAATATTTGTTTCAGCTCCGATCAAGACTGTGGATCCTACCAAGAGGCCCAATAGCAGCAACCTCCTTCGCACTCAGCTGATTGTCTATACTTTGATTGCGGTTCTTCTTTTCTCTCCTTTAATCATAATCATAGTCTGCATCATTCGTTGTGCTCGAAAGTAAGTCGATCTGACGGCACGTCTTACGTTGCAGTGGCTAACTTGACCTTCCGTTAAAAGTTATCTGAGCTTGTATCAATCCTCATAACTTCTATTTTAATTGGAAACGTTGTGAGATGCGAGTTTTGAAATCCGATTTTGTGTAAGAACAAAAAATCTGAAAAATATCTCACGTTTTGTGCTCTGCTCGTAAAGTTTGTGGTTGCCCATTGCCTCGACCTCCTCCAGGGTGTTTCCCCTTGACCCCACCCACACAGGGACTTTGCGCCTACATGCATATGCAAGCATTGCGTGTACTTTATCTTGTGCTTTCTCCAGGCCGTTTCAAAAACAGGCTTCTAGCGCTCGGCTAGGCCTGTTGTCTGCCCATTTCCACGTATTTCCAATGGAACGGAGACATAGCTCTATACAACAGATTCAGATGCAGCCTAAATTTTCAATGTTGTTAGTTACACTTCATTATTTGTTAAACCACTTTGCCCCGGAGGTCATGCTGACACGATATGGGTATCTGAGTGTAATTTAGACCCCCTGTGTTAGTGGCATTTGACCGCATAAGGAAATTGATTGCTATTTCCTTTCGGAAGTCTAAATTTAGGCCCAAAACAGTATTGTTGGCATTTGGTAAAGTTTGCCCTGCTTTTTCAACTGTGAGACAGCCCACCTCACTGATTTTAGTGACCATCTCAGGCTTTTCTGTATATAATCTCAATCTTAAAATAGACAAAGATGGAAGGAAAAAGCAGGTAAGAAAGTTTTTTTAATTGTTCTGAATTATCTAACCCGATTCATTTGTTTTGATCTTAGGAAAAGTGATCCCAAAAAAGATTCAATGAGAGGAACTCTGCCAGTTGAGTCCAGTGAAATGGAGATAGAAATGCATCCTAGGGGGCTTTCTAACAAGGGCATGACCGCTGACACAGTAGCCTTAGAGGTCAATGATAACGAGACAGCTGGACCAACAGATCCAGATGCTTCAACAAGTCGGGCAGAAATCCAGTTCAGAACGTAATGATTAATCACCAGTGCCACAACCCCAAACACGGCATCTTCTTTCCCGTAATAAGGATAAGGCCCACCAATCAAAATTGGCGAAAGAAACTTATTTATTTTTCTTGAGTAAATTTGGTAGGGCAGGTTCTTTCTGAAACTGACTAGTGTTGAACACAGAAGAATTCGAGAAAATTAGTGTAGATATCTCGCAGACAAAAACTGCTGAAAAGCTTTTATCCAAGCGTCTAAATATCAGTGCAGTGTGACTTTTTAAATGTGTTTTGTACGTAGGTAACCTTCCAAACGTCTCAGGAAAAGGATACATCTCGTTTGAGAATGAGGGGTGAATCCAATAACAAACGTAACAATTATTACTATGCTTGTTTTCAGTGATCTTTTTACGGAGGTGTATGTAATCATTACTTTTCAATAAATGCTCAAGTTGGGGACCTCTCATGTTGTGGCAATGTAAAAAGTGGAAAAAAATAATTCTATTATAGAAACTTGGACAAAGGATATTGTTTTGTCAGTTTGTGCTTGTCTTTCAAAATATAATAATTGGCACGTGTCTAAACTGTGAAGGCTCTGCGTTGCATGAATTTAGAAATGAACAGTAATTTGCAAATGCAGTCAATATTTTGAGGAAGCAAAGTACAGTGAAGTTTTGTTTTGTGGCAGTGTGAAGATCGCTTAAGTTAAATGTTAAACTTTAGTTCTATGTGTAACAAAAAAAATATATTTTTCACAACGTTTTCTACCGTGTCATGAATGTCGCCATTTATAACGTTTTTACTCAACTTTGATCGCAAATACGTGTAGAATATTATTACTTTCATAGTGTTAAGACTTTAAATAAAGGAATAAATACGTATGTTCTTTTCCGGTCTAAAACGTTAAACATATATTTATTCCCATTCATAAAATACCTCGAGTGGGAAAATTAAAGTAAGACTAGTTTAATCATTTCCAACGAATTTTATCAACTACTGTGCATTATTTTTTAAAACATGCTATGACCGTCTCGCAAGCTGTCTTTACAAACATTCGGTGGTCATTGTCACTGGCACGGTGCATACTGCCAGTCTTTGTCAACTGTTTAAGACTAGCCTCGTAAAGGGTATTCGACCAATAGTAAGGACTAAATGTTACACCTGAAACGTAATATGTTATGGACATTTGTTGAGTAATTCATCGAATTTGAAAAATTGCAACTTTAAAAGCTAAATGTTTCTAAATTGAGACAGTTGATATAATATGTAATGTAGCTTTATTATTTATTTCGGTTTTCAAGTGCTGGTTTACATCGGGTGGCACATTTTAAGATATTAGTTTTTAGTAGTGTCTTCACTTTATCAGCAAGGGAAGTATATTCAGTTTTGTTTATATTCTGGGGAAAATCCGAATCAACCTTGGGCACAATGTAATTGCATTTAATTGAATTTTTGGTTTATCTGTTTCCAATTTCAATATTTTTTACATAAAAATGTGTCCCAAAACGTAAAGATTCGTCCTTTTTAAGGGATAACCTGTTTACAAGATTTTAGACCTTCGTAGGAAATGTACACGGGAACATTGCATACACTTGTAAAGAAATAATCTTATTGCACACATTTCTGTCGACAAACAAAGTTACTCCAACACATTTATGTGAATAAGGAAATCTAGTCAAAAGTATGTTTGGATTAGTGATCACACGGACTGTTTGGGGGTTTCCTTTCTCACGAAAACAAGGAAATGAGTGCAAAGGCGACGTAGTATATATGTATTTCCATCGGTGATTTAAAATGATCGTCCGACTGTCTGCTGTCAATTTCGTGAAATAATCTAATGCCAGTGATATATGTTGACAAATGTTTAATTTTAACGTGAAGACAACTGTAGTCTGGACGTTTGCACGCAGGACTGCTAGGGCCATTCTTTTTTTTTATCTTGCAGAATCTGATAGACAAATATAACAAACAACCCTTGTGCTTGCAAGAACCGGAATAGCACAGTGAGTAAAGCTCTGTACTGGTGATCGTACTGGTGCAGGTTCGAATCTGGGTACTGCCCGAGGTTTGCATTTTTTTTTTCTTACGTTGTACACTGCGATAGATAAATGTTACAAACAAACGGCTGTAGTCATGTGAAGCAAGATAGCACACTAGATAAGAAACTGAACTTCTGAGCGCACGAGCGTAGGTTCGATTCCCATTCGATCCACTAAACACATTTGATACACTAAGAAACCCACCACAACA